GTTATCATGCAAAGACATCTAAAACGGTTACCATGCAAAATGTATAAAAACACAAACGACTAAAACACATTGGTGCAACCTAGAGCAACAAATTTAGCAATTGGTGCCCAAAATAAGCCACAATCATGGTTCCGTCTATCACGATTTTAGGAGTGTTAAAAAAACACTCATCTGTTTGATTTTTAGAGTTATTAGATCTCTATATTATAAATTAAAGAGATGAGGACGCAAAGGAGGAACAGCGGGGGAAACATTGCCGCAAGGTTCTGTGTTGGGGTAATTGACGTTTAACCTGTCCATAAATCATTCATGGTTGGACGTTCCACCTCATGGTTGGACGTTCCACCTCATGTGGAAAACTCTAAAGCCATCCAGCAGGGGGCTATAAACACCCATGCAACGTACAATCTGAGCTCTGGGAGGGGGATCAGACTGTGGCCGTGCATCGCAGACACAACAACGGCATGCAATGGCCATCTGCAGCTAGCAAAACGTTGCCTGGCGTTAAAAAACGGGTCACAAACTCAAAATAAAATCATTTAGCCCCTATACAAAACAACCTCACCTGGAATATCCTATACAGTTTTGGCCGCCACTTGACAAAAAGGATGCCCTGATACTGGAAAGAATGTAGAGAAGGACAACTTAGTTTAATGAAGGGGCATGGACGGACCAAGGAAGACTGTTTGACCAAAATGTTATTTACAATCCATGAGCAATTCTTAACATGTACACGGTCTGGATTTAAAAAGATATACCAGCTTACATGAACGTTACTCAGCAAAAACAGTCGTGGCACTTGAAGAAAAAAAAAGGCTAATTATCAAAGAGCTGCGACTGTGGAATGTCCTTCGATAAGAACCAGTTTTAGTGGCTTTTCAGCAGAGCGAATGTTGTCACGGAATTCTCTATAAATTCTTACTGTATCCCCCTCGGGGTACTTGGCAGCACATTTAGGGGTATTTGAAAATTGTTTTGTAATGGCAGAAAAAAAGCTGCGACAGTGGGAAGTCATGGACATTAGGCGCGGCAGTCTACGTGCTTCATGAGAGGTACAGTTTATACAATCAGACTGCCAAGGGGGGCACAGGTAAAATGAGGTTGGGGAACCACTGCTCTAGTGGGATTATCCATTGCAATATGAGAAGATTTAACTAAGGAGCCGGTGAGAACAGCAGCTTGACCAGAAAGCCAGGCTTGGACTATAAAGCAGGACAATAGAAACAACCTGGTGGGTCAAACTTCACCCTCGCAAACTGGACTGTGGATTTTAGGCCCTCATTCACGCTAGAAAAACCCGGCACGTACAGCTCCGTGCTGCGTACACGGCCGTATCGGGCAGCTCCCAGGAAGGACAGGTGCTGCGTGTGATTAGTAAGCAGCCCCTGGCCTTCTCTATGGAAGTACGCGGCCATACGCCCCCCCTACGCACACCTGCCCTGCGCGTCTGTGCGGGTGAGTGTAATCGTACGCTGACAGGATGGATCCTGTCTGCGTCCGAGCCGGGACACCCGCACCCGTACGGACCTGCACTTGAGGCAAGCGTAAGGCACCTGTCCTTCCCGGGAGCTGATACGGCCGTGCACGCAGCACAGAGCTGTACGTGCCGGCCTTTTCTAGTGGGAATGAGGGCGAATGGTAGAGTATTTTTTTCTGGATCAACAAAGGTTTTAAATATGTGAAGATATACTGTAATCTTCTCTTTTTACACGTCAGCAAAGTGGAAACTGAAGCACGACTAAAGTGCAGGTCACTTCAGAGCTTAACAAAAGTGCCAAAAGGACCCCCAAAAACCACCCTAGGATGCCCTAATCCAGAGTCTCTAACACTTTCTTGTGGAGGGGTGGCCTGGCCCTTAACACCCCTTCCTACTGGCTAATGATGCCACCCATCTTAGTGATGTATCTATAGCTAGTTACGAATAAAAGGAAGGAACAGTCACAAGTACAAAAAGAAGTGAAAGCTTGTAGAGGTACTGGCCCAAGTTTTGGGAGTACCTAGAGGTGCCTGCAAGCTTTGCCTAATTTAGGAAGTTTTAGTAAGTTTTTTTATTTTTTTCCGACATACACTTTAGTAGACACATTTTTCCAACCTAATGATACAACAAAGACATCTTGCACATAAATATTCAAAAATTCATACCCCTTTTGTATACCTACCAACACTACAAGGAGAACAACCCTTTAATAGTTTGGTAACACGCAAAAACAAGCATGTACAAGTCATCTGACAGCTACCAATGAAATTGTACAGAGGTAAAGGAATCGCTGTGCCACGGTAAACATCGTAACAAGAACACTGTGTACATTCTGTCGGAGAAAAGGAGGGCAGGGATTCAACTGCTGTAATGTGCCAGCCCAAATAACACCAGACTTCCCAAACTTGGAACACGGATATCTTGACTTCGGCTTAAGGATACACAGTCTGGTTAACAAGAACGAAGGCACTCGCTGCAAATGGGCTACCTGCGGACTGGTCCTAATTTTATACTGGCATTCATCCCGTGCATGAGGGGGGGCATGCTTGCTAAATCCTGGAATCTGCCGGTATCCAAATTACTGTAAGGCCTAAAATCTGAGCAAAAATTGAGCCGTTCTTTAGTGTATTTTCCTTATATCGGTCAGTGCAAAAGACTAGGGTCCTGATTCATCAAGCCATCATAGCACTTAAAGCATGCCTAAAATCAAATATCAGAATATGCCTTCATTGCACTATAAGATGCCTTAAGGTCCTGGTTCACACCTGGGCGTTTTACAGCACGTTCCTACGCGCTGTAAAACGCTCAACATGTGAAAACCAATAATTGCCTATGGGGATGGTTCCCACCTGGGCGTTTTACAGCGCGTAGGAAAGCGCTGTAAAAACGCCCTACGCCAAAAGAAGTACAGGAGCTTCTTTGGGGCGTATTTGCCGCGCGTATCCATTAGGATAGAGCCGGATAGCCCTCGGAAACGCGCATTTGTCACGCGTTTCTTTTACCGCAAATTGCAGTAGAAACGTGCGGCAAACGCACCTATTCCGTATGCCCAGGTGTGAACCCAGCCTAATACAAGGGTGGACGAATCAATATGTAATCCAGAAGCCAGCAGGTTTTTGGGAGGCAGTTCCATTGACAACAACTAGAGCAGGAATAGCAAAGTACAGCCCCTCCAGCTGTGGTGAAGCTACAAATCCCATCATGAATCTGCCACTGAGTCGTGCCTGTAGCTGTCAGAGTCTTGCAATGCGTAAATTGGATTTGAAGTTGCACAGCGGCTGAAGGGAGTTTGCCTACCCCGGAACTAGTGAATACCTCCGAAGTTATGGATAAAGGAATCAGAAGGATTCACAGGATTTAAAGCATGAATTCTTTGTTCATTTTTATTGAACATGCATCATACAAGCGACATTTTGGGGCTACGAAGAGCCCCTTCCTCTGCGTGCCACTATGTCACCCTGAGGAATGGACCCTGCGTGGCCCTAAAACATTGCTCGGGGCTAGGCTCATACCTAAGCGATTTATTTGTGTGGATTTTGCCGCACGGTATCGCACAAAACAGAGATTTCCATTCAAGTCTATGGAAGCTGTTCACTACTTTGCGATTTGTCCTGCAGTAGAAATTGTCTGTCATGCAAAAAGGGTCAGGAGCTGTTTTCGGGTGGTTGTCGTGCGGTTTGGGTGGCAGACATCTCTATGCATTGAAAACCGCGTGGCTTTTGAAGCAAAATCGGCCAAACAAAAACGTGCAAACAACAACTCCCCAGCGCAAACGCCTAGGTGTGAACCGAGCCTCAATGATGCATGTGACGCACGTTCAATAAAAATGAACAAAGTATTCACGCTTTGGATCCTGCGAGTGCTTGGGATTCCTTTATCCATACATGGCACCATCGGTCTCATCACTTCGAGCACCACAATCTGCATCCTTATGGTCTACAACACTATATGGAGTGCATGTGACACACTACAATACTATACGTTAAAAGTTAAGACGCATTGGCTACCTGGCTCCTGAGGTTTGTCCAGCCTTGCCTTAAACAAAACTGCACAGTGATGCATCAAAATCTAGAGATCTGTTTTCTGGCAAAGTTTTGGCAGCCATTTTGTTGCCATTAAAGTTCAATTTCATATATTTCCTGCTGGCTAAAGATACAAAATGCATGCTCCACTTTGAGTTAAAGAAGATAGGAGT